CCCCAAAACCCCAAAACCCCGCAAAAACATTATAATGAATATTTCAAGAATAAAAATTAAAGATTAAAAATCAAGTTAATTATCTAATATAATTATACTTTATTATTAGTGAACTTTCTAAATACAATTCTAGAATTTAATTAATAGTTTGATAGATTATCATAGAAATATTCTCTTTTATTAAGGTTTATTAAGTATGGTCATCGACTGGAAGCATGTCACAGGGATATTGCTCAGAGGTTTTTACGCCTTAGGAGATGATTTCAAGCTGAAAGAATGGGAATTATCTTTCCCACTCATCTCGTCTTTTAAAAATGATGCTTTTTATTATGAATTCTAACTAATTTAATTCTTATTTGGACCTAATTATTTTTCTCCTCTCATTCTTTATAAAAATATTATATTTGATACCTCTTAGAGAGCAAAACCTTCTTCAAGTAACTCTTCTTCTATATCATCGAAACTTAACCTGATTTTTTTGTTTAAGTTTTATTATTAAGCATAAGGCTTGCTCCCTTATGGTAAATCAACGATGTCTAATTGATTTGAAATTTAAGAAAATGAATCGATCATAATTCTATCCATATCATTATCATAGTTACTCTAGTTTTTACATTAATTATTTTGTATTAATTATTTCAAATTCAGTTTATTACTTAGCTTTCCGATAACTTATTTGCAAGGGGTATTAATTTTATTATACTCACTAGATTGATCCTGATAAAGCTAATTTTGATTTTTCAAGCTCTTGTCGACATTTTCACCTTAGAAATTCGGAGAATGGAAACTGTGTTCTCTAATAATCTACAGTTTCACTCTTTTCTAACATTGCTCCAAAATTTCTAACTAATATGTGAGTGAAGAGTCTTCTTCATTTTTAGAGTTACTCAAGATAGATTGATCATTCTAATCTTTAGTTTGTGCTAGAGCATAATGTAAATTTGGTACACTCAAAGTTGAATTACTAAGAATCCACTCGTGCTTTAAAGCTTCTTCTGCAGATAATCTGTATAAATCATCTTTTTCAAGCATCCCAAGCAAAAATTTTTTACACGACTTAGAGGCAAATTTTATTCCTTCAATTTTATGCTAAATATCACAATTTTTGTTTTTCTCAATAAGAACATTTGTATTATTTGCTTAAAAAAGGTGTTGCCCTGTGATCATGAAATAAAGTATACATCCAATACCAAATAGATCACACTTAGTTGAAAATATACCGTAGTTTATTACTTCGGGAGCAATATAGCCTGGAGTACCACATTTAGTTGAGATTATTCACTTTTCTTAGATTATTTTTGCTAGTCCAAAGTCAGCTATTGAAACTTCAAGTTCCTCACTGGATTAAGATTTAAATTGTTCGCACTTTTATTATTTTTTCCTGATTAAAATGTTTTCTGGCTTCATATCTCTGTGAATAATATTTTTATGATGTATTTCTTTGATTCCCGTGAGTAGTTAACAAACGGTATTGATTGCTTAAGCTTCTTACATTATTCCATAGTAGGATATGTAAGTGATAAGGTCTCCTACATTGTAGTAATCCAAAAGCAAGTAAATGCAATCATTGTCTTCAAAGATTTCATAAAGTTATACAACTCCTTTGGTATTCCTGAGTTACCTTTGAGTTTAGATTTCCTCGATGATTTATTGTTCAAATGAGTTAGCAATTTTTTCTTTGGTTATTATCTTCAGCGCATATTACTATTTGAATATTTCTTATAGGTCAGTCACTAGAAGAACTTAGCCAAATGAACCTGTGCCAAGTAATGATTGGTATTAATATCTCGATTCCCGAAAATATTGTATACAGTAAATTCTAAGATTTTATAATAATTTGTCAGTTTGTTATCCATTCTCAATTTTTTTCAGCTAAACATTAATATAATTGCATCTTGTATCTCTTATTTATAAGCTAGTAAAAATGAACTCATAAGTTATCTAACTCTTTGATACTCTAAATCCAATCATTGAACTTGATTTATTTCGGCCTTTATTCTCGTTTAGGAATAAGATCTCTAAATATGAGAATTCTATATCAATTAGAATTTGTTAATTATTTTGAGCAGATGTGATTAAGAGGTAGTTATTTTAGAAATATAAATAGAGCTCACAGTACTCGTGAATAAGCTTTTAGTCTTCATAATGCCTCATATTTACAGGAATGCTTTCTTTTTTACTTTGTGATTAAAAAGAATCCATTAAGTTATGATTTGCCATTTAGTGCTGTGCTTGAAAGGGTGAATGAATATTATGATTGCAGTCGAAAAAGTGGTCGATACGTTTTTTTAGCATCTAGAGATATTAAAATTATAGGTTAATACATTAACTTACGTATTATTGTTCAGAGCATTATCTTGATATTTTATTTAAAATCTCACCTATCTTTTATGCCTCTAATCAGTCTTAACGGGGTTTTGGGGTTTTGGGG